ACAGCAAGTTAAGAGCTTGTTAAAATTAATTGCAGACAAAGGTTAAAGAAATATTTCATCTCTCCTCTTTGGCCAGGAGTCCATTAAATCTTGTTATTTTTTATACACAAACACATAACCTTTACCAAACCAGTTTACAACACAAAACTTTATAGACTAAATTAAATATATTGAAACAGACTTTAAGATATTTATCAATGCAAATTATATTAAGTAGCTTATGAAATTATATTCTAAATTATGGAATTCCTCCAAGAATGTGTTTTGACCCGTAACTCTCAGGTCTGTTGCCCATACCCACTCCAGGATCTAAAGCTTACTTCACACCAAGTTTGAGCATAAAGGATCGCACATGGGTCATTGCCCGCCATTGAGAACCATCACCAATCTGATGAACAGACACCACCTTTCCGCAGGATTACATATCTTAAAACAAATAGTTCCCAATTTTAAACAATTGCGACTAATATGCGTGTCAATATAAATAAAGTCGGTAGACAATCTGATTGAATTCAATGAAAATTAGCACATAATGGTGTATCATGTATCCAAATGATTGGTTAAGATAAAAATTTAAACTAATGATAGACTGAATGAGGCTAATTTGCACGGCCCTTTTCAATTAGGTCAAAAATATGCAGAAATATTTTTCGTTTAATATAATTTTTCAGTAAATTGCACAATTTAATGGCAATTTCTGTATTTTCAATTCAATTACTTTTCAGGTCTAATATGTTTCTTTTGAAATTAATTTTTTCATGTCAAAAGAGTAGGCCTTTTATCCAGTAATTGTTCAATATACCATTTAATGTCAGCAATGATATTAAATTAATGTCATTAAAGCCAATCATGTCACATTGACAATTTGACTGGTTTAATTTAGATCGATGAAAGAATGCATTGATTGATACTCTTAACTATGGCAGATATAAAAAAATATATTGAAAAATAATAATCTTTTAATGGTGTTTGCAATTATCTTATTTACTGAATATTTAACTACCATTTAGATCATAAGTATTTTGTGTATTTAATTCTATCAAATTAATGCAGTGACAAGGATTATAGGACATTGTCATAAAACCAGGTTTTCTGCCAAAAATACATACAGTATGTGAAAAAAGTGATCAAATGGCCTAATAATTTTGTTTGAAAAAAAAAAGCAGCAGGGGTCATGGTCACTATACATATGTGACAGTTCCATTGTAATTTCTTAAGAAATGTAGGAGTTGCGCAATAGAAGAAATTGTAACATGTATCAAAAAATTGCACAATACTATGCTCATTTTTTTCAGTCAAGTTAACATGAATTAAATTAATATTTCAAAAGACTGATAATTACATGTATAATGGTGATTTACTAACAGCTGATATTGAAAAATGTTTCAGATAAAATATAAATCTGCCTAAATAATAAAATACTGTCCCACTTTTTTTCCCCATATAAATTGATCATTACAGGTAAATTCTGATGAATATTTACAGAAATATATCCATGGGCCACACGAGTTATATATCCTTCATGCTAATTAAATTATAAAATCGAAAGAATTTATGGCAAAATGTCAACTTTGACTTGTTAACTCACTTTAAACCATGGAGTGGGCATAATATCACTTTAAAACACATCTTTTACACTTACATAATATTTACATGACAAATATAAAAATTCTCATTTCTATTTGTAATGTGCACCTTGCATGGACAGTGATTTTTCTTTTTTTCTGTGCAAGTAAACTTCAGTGCTTATAAGATTAAACTTGAATCCAAATTTTCTGCCTTTTCATGACTATAATCTTTCAAAAAAAGAAAAAAATTCTGTGGTTCAATACATTTTTATTAAATTTCATGTAAATATTTTCTTATTCATAACTTATAGGGGGAATTTTTGCGTTTCAACATAGCTATTTTTATCTGGTAACTGCTATTATCAGTGGAATTATTGTTTGAATACTGGGGTATTAATCCAATACAAATATGAAATAAAGTAAAACTGTAAGCTACGGTGTAACAGGGCTTAAACTTGTTCAATACTTTATTGACTCCTCTAAAAGGAGCGTAATTTTCTGTTAAAATTTCAAGACCTGTGTATAAACACGGCTGTAGAACACTTTTAAAGGCACTTAAACGAAAACCTTTGAAAAGAAAACACGGTTGACCTAAATTTCAAAACTTAAGAACTGTTATTTTACAAAAATCTACTAATATAATTACATTCTACATTATAATAAGGAAAAAAGTTTTGTTTAGAGGTCAGCATACTTGACTTTTTTGCAACATGATATTAATTTTGTAAAACCATTTATAGCTAGCTGCTTCAGGTTTTTTTAGCTAATTGGCTTGATTGTTCACAGGTTTTTTCTAACTTACATTAATGATTATTTGATTTTGCTTCAATTTTTTAAAACTAAATTGACACTAAATTGATGTAAACAATACAAAATAAAAAAAATCATGATCGTTTCATGCTAAAATGTTTAATTGGTTCTTGTGGTGTTTCAAGTTTTTTTCTTTTTTTCTGTTGTATTGTTACTAGGGGATCATTATAAATCCATGAAAGAAGTTGTTCAAAGATGTCTTTCTTATTTGTTCGGATGAAAGTTTATTATTTGAACAATAAGGTAAATGACCTGAATACATGTATGTAGCACTCCCAATACATGCATTTTGATTCATCTATTTTCTAAAGAATTAAGTATGAACAATAAATCTACCATCCCTCATTAAATCAAAATAACATTTATTTTTCAAAACACCAATTCTTTTTTTTTCTGAATACAGACTTACAAAATTTTGTCTACAGTATATTTTCAGTGAAAAAAAATAAAAATGTTGAAAAAAACCCAGTAAACCAGTTAAATACGTCAATAATCGATTAACAGTACAAAAATGGACACCATTTTTCTATAATTTCTTAACCGTTAAAAAGAAAACTATTAAGATGACAGGTAGAACATAATTTAATAGCTTTGTACGTTACAACCGACCTAGATCCAAGGTCGATACTGTGTACAAAACATAGGGGGTCAACAGGTTATAATTATTCATAGTATAACAACTGGTAATAGTGCCAATAAATATTGTGTAAATATTGTATTCCTAAGAGATTAATTCCAAATTGTGTTCCCCACGGCAGTTGAGATTTGGGTCACATAGGCGGAGAAGTACAGAAAAAAAATTGATATGTTACTATTACAATTATATGTTTACCCGTTATCACTAGATGATTAATATACATTTATTTTGTTTGTATTTATTCCGCCATGGTTATTTCGATTTATATTTTGTTATCTATATAATAAAACTACAATCGATATTATCGTGCCAATGTATTGAATTTGTCTCGACAAAAATATAAAAAAATCTATAGAAATGATGTCAACAATATCAACATATTTCCTTTTATATTTTGTTGCTATTGACACTAACTGTTCATTCAAAATTTCCTTATGCTTTGGTTCTAATATATAATAATTAAATTTTACACACATTTTCAATTTTTGTTTCCGGGACAATTTATTTTTTTGTCTCTCTTAATGTGTATTCTTATTATGGTATGTTGTTCTGTAGACAAGGGTACTGTTGTACTGTAGACAAGGGTACTGTTGTACTGTAGACAAGGGTACTATTGTACTGTAGACAAGGCCGGGGATTTTTATTAATAATTATTTCCAAAAGGTAAAATCTTTAAAAAATCCCCTATGATTAATCATTTAGAGGTGGCTTATATAAATCAGCAGTTAACCTGCCAAATTAACTTTGTCACTACCCTCAGTATCTTTAGAGCCATGCCAATCTGCACATCCACACATTGTCTCAGAGCAGATTATTATACTGTTGTCTTCTTTATTTTAGAAGATCGAACCTCTTCTTTTTAATGATCAGAACTGACCAAGGCCCCAATTGTGTTTCTTTGTTGGGATTTGTTAGTCACAACAAAACTTGCATGGGTAAACCTTGGATGCCATTCCATTAATGTCTTAACTGACACTACAGCTGATGGTCTTAAGCCTTAATCTGCTTAATTTCTTAACTGGACTTATCAGTTTCCATTTTTGGAACTGTCTGTTATTTATTTTGGGGAGATCAAGATCAAAATTTAAAGTTAGTCAGCCTATATAATACAGCTTGGTCAGATTGGCATATAAGTGCAGGCTGGCCTAGCTCTACGCTGGTGGTGTAAGCTAATCAGTTTTGGGTTCCAGGTAGCCTTAAGTTAGTACCACTGATGTTCGACAAGTCGGATTTTAACTGTCTTGGCAGGACTTTAACTCACAGTGTTGAACGAGAAAGCATTTAAGTCAATGCTATAACACCAGGAATGTGCAAAAACAAAGTGTTAGTCAAGTTCTTTAGACATCAATATTGAGCACATAGCAATACAACCTAGCAGTCAGACATAATGGCAAACTCTGTAACAAATGAATTTGATGCTTCTATCCATGACCTGGAGTTTAACTCTATAGCTCTATTGTTTAAAATCAAAATATATAATCATACAAATTGGAAAATTTCATTCTCTGCAACAACTCCATACTGTACATGTTCACAATGTCAATATTCAATGAAAAACCATGATTTACTGGAAGGACTCAAATTTTTAAGTTTAAAACTGCCGTTCTATAAATGATTAATTTCTTTTTCTTATCATCTATAAATCATTAAAGTGCATTTTAAGAAAATATAAACCAGTATTGTAATTGAATAATGGTGGTAAGCATATGTGGGGGAAAAGGCCCCCCCTCAGATTTTCTACAATTTCATCAAAAATCATTTATCATAAAATAATCAAACAATAAATGGATCTATAGCTTAGCTTAATTCATACCAAAGAATTAGAATTATAGAAAATCAATAAAAGATCATGGTAGATTAACTTATTAAAATCCAAACCCAGCCATATATTACACTATTATTCAAAACAGCTGACAGAAAATCTATATGACAAATTATACATACATGGTATTTAGGGCGAAACAATAAACAACAATACTTGTGTGGGATGTATGACATTTATTGAAATATGCTGAAATTTACAAAAATGACAATGAAAAATTTGAAAATGATCTTTTTACATTGCAATATTATGTATTTAAATCTTGCACAAATTCTGCCGAGTCAGCAGAAACAACTATAAGATAGGACTATTCCTGACTTTGTTAAAATTCTGTTTCCTATATTAAAGGTACAGGCCTTAATTGCTGTGTCTTTTACTTTTATTGTCTGTTTGAAAACTAGTCACAAAACTCAGAAAAATGCACATGGAATTTGATTAAGTTCACTAATATCTCCGACAAAAATAATTTTGGACAAATAATTTGTTTTTTGTACTGCTACTTTTTTATATAATATTTAATAAAGTTTTTGAAATCTTGGTTCCTGTATTTTATTAAGCAGACAGGTCTATGTCCATATAGTGTAGAATTTCATTCCACAATATGTTAAATCCTTCTGAAGGAGATAAAGTTATGATGAAATCTGTGATGTCATCATTTTATGTGTTCTAACCATCACCCTGACTTCCTCCTCTCACACACACAGCCTGAAAATAAACAAAATAATTGTCTTCTTTATTTTATATCATGATTATGATATCTTAAATTATTAAGATCTGTTAATTCTAGAACGTTACCACATGCCGGACTTGTCCATCTTTCAATTTGGACAAGACCATTCATCATTTTTAGGTAAACTTTCAAAATAAGAACTGACTGAATGGCAAACAGTGCAGACTATGATCAGGCTGAACTTGGTCTGCACAAGCCACATGGGCAGATTCAATTTACCACTAGTATGTTAAGGATTAATGTCCTGATTGCTGCATCAAATAGAATCAAGAATATTGGAGAAACTAACAAATGCCCCAAAATTCACTTTTACAAAACTTAAAACAAGGCCTTCTTAAGCCTTCTTATGAGGCAAAGTAGGAAAATCTATTTTTAGTCTCAGTGACCTGAACCAAAACTCAGAAAAATGCTAAATAAGACAAGATATCTTTTTATAGCTGAATCACAAAATCAACTCATTTATATACATGTACATATGATTCTTATACAATAAACAATACAATGTTAGTAGTTCATAATGGCACATTACATGATGTATATAGATTTTACAACAATATGTGGGAAACCGGGATCACTGTATCATTTCTTGTGAGTCTATATTTTAATGTGTAAGATTCATTGTGAGCACATGTATAAACACCTTTCATTTCATGGATTATTATTGTTGAAAGTTTAGTTACTTCAACTTGTAATATTTCTTGCCAGGATGTAGATGTGAGCACAGGATGAAGTTGTGAGCACAGGAAGTAGGAGTGTTACCCACTTTGATATTAATATCATAATAAAAACCATCTGTCATTATGAATATAAAGAGTTATATATTCATAACAAAACTGAAATCTGTATCCCTAATTTGAGGTAAATTAGGGTTATTATAAGAATATCTTGACCTGTATCTTGTATTTTAATCGAATGGATTTTACCAGGTTTGAATCTCACAAGGTGCAGAGGCACAAATCTGATCCTTTCTAGTATAATCTTGGAGAACTAAATAGAGGTAATAGAGCAATATACTTATTTCATAACCCTTTTAACTTTTACCTTTTCAAATTTAACATAATATATTACAATGGTATTAGATCAGCATGGTAATTCTCATTCATACTAGTAAATGGTAAACTCTACAGGTCTTACTTGTGAATGTGGCACAAACACAAACACTTACATAGTAAATTATGTACAAGTAAGGTATGTCATAAAAGCAAGTACTTTACAGGGGGGTAACAGATTTTTAAATCACAGGAGCAGTCAAGTATTCTGGCAATGCTTTATTCCCTCATGGTACACACACAGGAGAGTTTAAGTAATTTATTTATTTTTATTCTAACCATGGTATCATGCTATCAGCAAATATATAAACATCCCTGTACCACACTGATCAAACAAACAAATTCATTGAATTCATATCCCCTGTCATGTAACATAACTCACTTGATTGAAATTTCTTAGTATCATATACTGCAAAATCATTATTATTCATCAGTCAATTATTTTCTGGTTTTCGTAGACACAAAATTTAAGATCCAACAAAAAAATTTCATGGCGTCTGCTGTGAGACTATATATGTATCACATTATTTACAAGTTACCTTTTGGAAAAATAGACAGTCCATGAATTTAAAAACCCATGAAAATGTTCTTTTTGACAAATCTCCGAAACTTCGTGCCCATGAACACAGTATGAACATGAGTGAAAATAAATTTGGTATCTTTATACTTCAAAGCCTATAAAATTTAGCAGTAAAAAGCCAATAGACATCCCTTAAGAGATAAAATGACATTAAAATATCATTATGACATTATGTTAATGTCACTTTAAAAAATACTATTTTAGGATTCAAGAGTGGTGAAATCATGCTAATCTATGCTCAAATTTAAAGTATATCAAATTTATTGAAACCAATTAAACCAGGAATAAAGTGTCATTTAAAAATCAACTCTGATTTACTTGGCAATGCTAACTAAGGGACACACATGATTACATTGTATCTCTATTAATAATCTTCAAAAAAAAATCCTGGAATCCCAAGATCTGACATTTTGAAAACTATAGAGTTTCAATGCCACCTTTCATCTTCGGCCTTTACATTTTGACTTTGAATATTACAGTGCATTAGCTTTACAATGTCATGGTTTACAATGCCTTCTTAATAATAAATGAAAAGCTAATGTGAAACCACAGTAATGCTTAACCTTGGGTACTACAATATCAACTAATCAATGCTATTAGTACTACAGTCTCTGGACTATTTACTGTTGTGAACTAAAAGGAACTCCACTGAGGTCCAAAAGCCTAAAATCTTAAAACTTGAAATTCTTATGCAGATTAAACAAAAAGATATGCAAAAGATAATTGAGAATTTTACTCAGAAATAAATTGGAACATCGTCCTTTGTGCTATTCTTAGCCCAGTTGGAGTGAAATGCTTTTCATTTTTGGAATATTTTTTTAAAATCAGAATACTGATTTTGGAAAAACATAGTGAGTAAATGATCTGCAATTTTGCATACAAGTTATTTGTCTAGACGTACATTTAATGGAACATTAAATTTAAAAAAATAATTCTAGTCCATTCATGTCAAAAAGCTTCAGTTGAGTCCCTTTAATTTAAGTATCCTGTTAAATACTGATGGACCATTCCAAATTCAAAGCTGGACACGTCCATTTGTAAAGACATAGAAAGCAAATTGCAAGCTGTTTAATTATTTATCAGTAAGGTTTTGGCAACTCAATAAAAGAAGAGGTTTATTATTGCAATTCAGAGGTATACTGTATATACCCACTATCAGATATATGTCCTAACACGGCAATAAACTCTAATCAATACGTGAAATCGAGGCATTGAGTACAGATAACTTATCTCGGAACTTATTTACATTTTCATTGACGTGTAATTCATCAGCATTCCGAAGTAGATTGTATTTGCATAAAATGTGCCCAAATACAGAAATTGTTTTATTTTTGTAACAGAGAAAAATGTTAAAATGTTTCGAACGGGATCATGTCAATCACATTATCGGAACGACCCAGTCACATGCGGGTCAGACAGACAAGAGATATGGCAGTCGGTATAAAAAACACTCTGACATGGTAAGTAGTAATGGTAAGTAGTTACACGAATATTAAAGTGGTTGCCACGTGTTTAATGATACTTGACGGGGAAATAATTCAGAGCAAACACTGTAAAACTTATTACTTAACAAATCATTTATCTGTCACAATAAGATTATCTGCCACAATAAGATATATTAACATTTAAAGAAACCAGTGGGTGCATGAGGTGTACCTGTAACATTGGTAATTATTATTTATTATATAGTAACAAAATTTAGGGTATTTCAAGGCCATTACGGACATCTTCAGGCCATTATCGCATTATAGCGAGCAGCAACGAAGTATTAAACTCTAATCAAAACCTTTAAATGGGTATGAAATACCATACTGAAACAAAAAAGGATGGACAAAAGATTTTACACAAAGAAAAAAAAAAACTGGGGGTGCCCCTTGTGCATTTTTCGGGCAAAAGGGGGATCTTGCTAGAACCACTAATTTCTAGCCCCTCACTGCCGAAAAAACTTCCATATATAATGCTCTAAAAATCTCTGGTTGTTTCAAACCCTACGCTGCTGGTTTTGATAAAAATAACCCAAGCCAACCAAGCGACGAACTTTTAAAAAAAATTTTCGTGTACATAAAATGGGAAATGTGAAAGATGCTGTCAAAAAACGCAAAAAACCCTAAACAACAGAAAGGGAGGCCAGTGTTGAGATAAGAGCAAGTCGGGGGGTATTTTAAAAACATCAATAATCCGATAAAAACTCCGCAAGTAAAAATATCTTAACACGGCTTAAATTAAAACCTCACTAATAGAAATCAACTTTTTAACAAGTTTCTGAAACCTTATCCCCAGTTAGATGAAAACAAGATTGCATTTGAGAAAAATGCTATGCCACCCGCATTAATACAACACTAAATAGTAGTGTAGGAACAGATTTTCTTTGTTTCTATACAATTTGAAGATTGTCATAATGCATAGATCCCTGACCTATCTAATTCTTATTATCAGATAGTTAAATCTGTTGTTAACTCAATAAAAGATCAGAGTAGGAATATATCAATGCACTTGAGTCTAGTGAAATTGGTGTTGAAGGTCATATTTCACACAGCCTAAATTTCATGACTACATCAAAGGACAACATAGTAGACACTTTGTCAAAATCTAGGTCAGCTGAAATCAAAGTTCACTTAACATCTTAGATCTGTACACATGGTTCAAATTTCATAGCTGTACTTTAAAGGACAAGAAAGTAGGTCACATCATCAAAATCTAGTTCACCTGATATCAAAGTTCAATTTTACAACTAAAACTGTGCACATGGGTCAAAATTTCATTGCTGTACATCAAAGGACAAGAAGTAGGTCACTGTCCCCTTGGGCAAGGCAAAATTTTGGACCCAAGGGTTTAATTCAAAACAATCTTGATACAGGTCCACCAAAACAACATTTCAAGTCAAATATCTAAGCTGTAGCTTTCTCCTATTCAGAAAAGATTTGTTTTATTTTCTGTTTTTACTATGTGAACATAATGAGAATCACTGCCCCTGGGCAGGGCCAATTTTAACACTAGGGGCATAATTAAAAACAACTTTAGTAGAGAACCCATAGAATATATTATAGAGCAAACATCAAAAGCTCTATGCCTTGTACCTTCAGACAAAATATTTCTTTTTTTTTTACTATATGTACATAGTGAAAATCAATGACTCCTGGGGTGGGGCCAATTTTGACCCCAGGGCTATAATGTGTTACAATCTTGCTACAGGTTCACTCACATAATGTTTCATGCAAAATATCTTAACTCTAGCCTTGTAAATTTAGAGAAGAATGATTTTTTTAAGTTTTTACTATATATAACATATAAGGAAAACCTATGGCCCATGGGGCGGGTCTTATTTTGACACAATCTGAGCAAAATT